ACCTGACGTGGAAATGTACCGAATACTCAGTACATTTGAAAACAACTGCAAAAAAAATCGCAAGTTGTTCTATCGCAAAAAAAGGAGGTATTAGTGTATTCATCAATAGACAGTTTGGGCAAACTCCGTATCCGTATGCGTACGTATGGATGAAATTCGCGTACTACGTCACAGTCTTTGTGTAGTGTGGCGTCAATACCGTCCGTGATACGGGTTTTCGATGCGTATTGAGCCCATTTCACACGTAAGTTGAAAAACATATGAACTTATTCTGGTATATTACTTTTTTAAGCTTGAAAACAAAAAGGCAAATTCTGTCAAAGTAGAACAGACTATTCAAGGCAATGCTGACAAAGTTTTTGACTATAAATTCTGCATGCAAGTGATACAAAGTCAAAATTTGGCCTGACTGTCAAATCAACCTAGGCCTAGGGCTGCCATTTTAAGTGCTACTGCCTCTTACGGTCACATAATTTTTGCCCAAATGAAAGCTACGAACTCAAACTTATCCGTATACGTGTACTGAGACGGATTATGCCTATACGTTAGTTTGCCCAAACTCAGTGAATCCGTATCCGTATTCGAGCGCGAGTTGGTTTACTCTTGTGCGATGGTGTCATCTTATCATTAGCCAATCAGAGCGCTTTATATGTTTCCCTATGCTTAGCTCTTCACGAAAAAAAAAATTCGCCTCCAGGATCTGCCCGACATGAGGGCTAAAGGCCCCTACGGGGGTGGGGCTAGGCGAGCGAAGAGAGCCTCACTTGGTCAGGGGCCGTCTGGGGCCACCGGTGGGGTCCACGGATATTTGACGAATTTTGGTGAATGTTTATTAGTTATTTGATAGGCATCAAGCTACCGTAATATGACTTCCCCAGGTAGCAAAGTTTATGGGGCCCTTATGTGAAATATCCGGGCCATGTGGGCAGGCCCATACCACACTTAACCCTTATGGGGCCTGTATGGGCTACACCATATGGAATTTAATTCTAAGGGTCCCGTAAGGGTAAAAGATCGAGAAACCAATATGGGTAACATGTGGGTCAGGGAATTTGGCACCCATGAGGGAAAGAAAAGGGCAATCCCTAGTAAATTTACACATTTGGGGCCCACAAGGGGAAAATATGGACATACCCTTTTGGGAAGTTTATGGGTCAGCCCATGTGGGAAAAGTGTGGGCAGTCACTAATGGGTACTATGTGGGCAAACACATTTGGGAACGTTTTTTAAAAAGTGTGGGTATGCCTATATGGGTAAGCGCATTTGGGGCCCACAAAGAAAAAATCTGGGCAGACCCATAATGGCTATTTCTGGGACAGCCCATGTGGATGAAGAATGGGCAATCACATATTGGCACTGTAAGGGCCAAAACATTTGGGATACATATTTTCAAAAGTGGGCAGGCCCATATGGTTTAGCATGTTTGGGGCCCTTGAGGGCAAGCAATGGGAACATTCATAAGGGCTCTTAGTGGGTCAGTCCTTATGGGCAGATTATTTGAAATCATACATGGGATAAATATGGGCAAAAGCATGTGGGAAATATATTTTTTAAATATGAGCAGGCCCATATAGGTAATCCTATTTGGGGCCCACAAGAGAAAAAAAATGGATGAACCCATTTGGGCTATTCATAGGTCCAAGGTCTTGATAGGTCAGCCCATGTGGGCAAAGTGAGGGGTTATAATATATGGGCAATATCAGGCCCAAAACATTTGGGATATATATATATATATTTTAATATGTGCAGGCCCAGATAGTTTAACATATTTGGGCTCTTGAGGACAAGAAATGGGAACATTCATAAGGGTTCTTGTGGGTCAGCCCCTGGGGGAAAATTAGAAATCATATATGAATAAAATAATATAGGGAAAAGCACGTGGTAAATATATAAATTGTTTTAATAGGCATATGGGCATATGCCTATATGTAATCTTATTTGAGAGAGAAAGTAATGGGTGAACCATGGGTTATTCTGTGTCCAGTTGTGTATCTACAAGTCTTGAAATGGGGGTGCTGATAAGGGGATTGATCAGGTAAAATGGAAGGGCTCGGTGATCATTTGAGGGGCGATAACTCGCAAAATAATGTGATTTTTAACTACTTTACCGGATTTTTAGGGGTGCAATCGTGGAGGGGAACGAGTAAATTTTGGAGGGACGTAAGCTCTCGAAAAACCCCTACCCCGCACCCAGATACGCCACAGCTGTTTGTGTCAGCCCATATGTGGGCAAAGTATTGGGTTATCACATAGGCCTATGGGTACTATAAGGAATGAAACATTTGGGATATATTTTTTTAAATATCGGTTAAGTTCAGATGTTTTAGCACATGGGGCCCATGAGACTGAAGGAGAGAAATAAGAATACATGTAGTGTAAAGTAAAGGACTATAAATTGTCACATCATTGGGTCACTCAATTATAAGCACAAATTCTTTTACAATCATTTTCTTTAAAAAGTAATTCAATATCAAGCACTTCAACAACAGGTCACAGTTCACGTTTGCTGTGCATGCATACAATCCCAGTTGCTACCTTTGCATGGTCCAAGGCTACTCAGCCCGAATTACTTAAATCGGATTGGCCTAGGTTACTTCAAGACCAAGAATGCTGGTTTTTGAATTTTTATCAGTTAAATTGCCCCTCTCCCACCTAGGTTTATTTCACCTAAGAGTCGTACGATTTCTACGAGTTAAAACTCGTGATCTTTGGAAAGGACCTATACGAGCTTATTACGTGTTAGTTACGAGTGAGGTACGACTTTATGGAGTTGGTTACGAGTTATGTACGAATTATGCCGAGCAGAGCACCGAGTTAACTACGAGATTATTACGAGCGTAACAAGTTTGAACCGAATTAGATACGAGTTAGGTACGAGCCAACTCGGTGCGCTCGTACTTACTCGTACGCGTTTTTGGGTGCTCGCATCAAACTCGTAGATGACAAAACCGCTGACGAGTATCCAGAGTAGTGTACGAGCTAGGTAGAAGGAGTACCCTGGGAGTACCCCGAGTACTCTACGAGTTCTTCGAGTTTACTACGAGTTATCTACTCGTGGCGATAATTTTGAACATGTTCAAAATTAGCGCCACGAGTTCAGAGCTGCTACGAGTAGGTAAGAGCCCTCTCCGAGCTTTCCGAATCGTCCTAGGAGTGTTTGCCGAGTTAGCAACTCGGCATTCTCTTGTAACTCGTATGATGAAACAACCCCTAGTGGGAGAGGGGCTAAGTTGAAGTTGGTACAGTTACAGCTCTTGATGATAAGCGGTCTAAACATAGACTTGGAAGTATTTCAGCAGTATCTAGGGGTAAGAGTTTTGTTTTAATTATTGATTCAGTTATGTGGTTTACTATACCAGTGTATCTCCCTGGTATAACCGTCATAACCTGGTATGTAGTGTAGTTTGTAAGAACAAGGATGTATTTAGTAAGGACATATACCCTCTAGTACTACAGAACTAGCTGAGCATACAGCCTGCTAGCCTAGGCCGTAGGAAGGTCCTTTTGTTGACCAAGCCAAAAAATGGTCCGAAGAATTGCCATCTGTAGGTATTGATTTATTCGTTTCATCTGTTTCTAACGTTATTTGCGTAATAATTTCGGACATAAATTATTTCTTTATTCATAGAGGCCTAGGCCTAGACGTAACTTTTATTATACTAATCATTTCTAACTAAGTTAGCCTTAGCTTAGCCTTTAGGCTAAATAAATTTACATCCAATTTTATTCGGCAAAATAATGCCAAACATTATTATAAATGTTTTACATCCATCATAACATATTTTTTTCCTTTCAATAATTTCAGAAATATTTAATAGTTCAACATTCCCAAAAAAAAAAATATATAAACCATGCATATAAAATTAAATATTTTTTTCATTTCAATTCATGTGGATTTCAAATGCATTTAACATACTTATGCATAACGATAGGTTAAAAATATTTTGGCATTCCTGGTGTGAAATGAATAGTTGAATACGGATGTTGCCAATCTAAAATAAACAGTTTGACTGAAAGAACCGAACTAATGAAAAACATTACTGTACTTATAAACTTATATTTTTTGTCATTTTTATTTATTTATTTACTTTATATTCTGTAATTGAATTCTCTATTCCTTAATTACTACAGAATAATGAGAGTAACATTTGTTTTGTTTGTCCAGTATTTTTTCTTTACTCATTTATCTTTTCAATAATTCATTTTTATATATTGTCAGTTGTTGTTTTGTAACTGTTCTACGGTTCGAACCTCTCCTGCGCGAGAGTGTTCCTCTAATATAAAAGAGAGAACCAATAAATCTTATCTTATCTAACAAAAAATGTTTTACCAGAAGTAAACATGCACCTGTTTAATTCTACAGTGCTAGATTTATTTTGAATGATCCATGAAACTTTGACATTTAGATTGAAGAATTACCAAAAGTTACGTACAATAATAATTATAAATAATGATGTAACTCTCACGGACCAAATACTGTGGAATGGCCCCTGAAACAAAAAAAAAATAATAACCCCGCTGGGGTAGCCAGCTTAATGTAACAGTGTAGGCTTACAGTTAACTTTTAAAATTTCCCGTTTTGAATTTGAAGACGGTATGGTATCATCAAAAACAAACTTTGGATGTAGTCATTTGAATCTTAATAAATCCCTAATATTCGTGTATGTGATTTTGTTTTACTGTATACAGTAGAACCCTTAATAGGGGGTGTCCCCTGAATAGGGGTACCCCTATTCTGGGGACGCTAACCAAAAAACATTTTCCCCATTGATAGGGTTTTTGGCATGTATTCATATAACGATGACATACAATCTTTATAATTTTATTTTTATTGACATAAGAATCAGTTGAAATAGAGTAAGATCTTATAGCAATAATTTGCAATGCAAATACAATTAACCTATAATATGAAATCAGCAGAAATGTAATTAAAACAACAATAGTTAAATATATTCCCAATATCCTTTCATTATGCAATATTAATGACTAACTATTCTTTTTTTTATTGAGCTTTCTAATAAATGATTAAATAATTTTATATGGTTTGAAATAGTACAAGGTGATTAATATATGTACAGTATGTGTAGCTTCTCTACTATTTGTATTTAAACCGAAATATTTAATTTGTATGCAATCTTATATTTCATTTATAAACCTTACTCTATGTATATTACTATATTCAGCATAAAGGTAAACTAAGGACAGTAAACTGTTTCCTTATGGTACCAGGAACTTAGATGACAAACAAGTCAGGAATGTTCCATGGATACTTATCCCACTTTTATTAACTAAAACAATGACATCATATAATCATCCTTAATTCTATAAGTATACCAATGTGTATGTAAATTTTACTAAAATGGCAAACAGAGACTGGTTTATTTACAAATAACAATACTCACATTAGAGCTTTCTATTAGATGGATATAGCATGAATAGAGTAATATGTTTCGATATTGATTATCCTATATGAAATACACAAAAAACAAAAATAAAAGAAATTCCAATTGTTAAGGGTCAAAATTGGTTTACGAAGTAACACGTGCAGTATGTTAGTGTTGTAGATGTTGTGATACAATGATAAAAAAAAAACTCCTTAATAGGTGTTGTTTGCCCATTTGGCACACTTAGAAAGTGTTCCCGTCCCCTAAATAGGGGTTGGCTGTAGTGTTAACAAATATACTGTCCCTCGTTTCACGGAAAAGTATCCACTTAATAGGGTTGACCTTTGAATAGGGGTGTCCAAAAGAAGGGGTTCTACTGTATTCATAAAAATATACATCACTTTATAAAGGTATATTAAGATTCTAATAACAAAAAATAATTAGTAGGCTTAATAATGCAGATTAACAGTAATAGTAGTAGTAAACAATTTTTAAATGAATGATAATAGTATTAAAATAAAAGTAGATATAATAATAATACTAATTAATAATAATAATAACAAGATATGATACTTAATATAAAATAATTGTGATACCATTTAGGTAATTCTGTATCATTGAGTAATTATTGGAGTAATTTAGTTGGACTGCCCAGACTGCAGCCTTTCCCCGTAATTAACCTATTGTTTAATTAAGCTATTGTTAAATTAGGCCGTGTTCTAGTCCATGCTATATAATGAAACAATGGGTTGAGGGATAAAGCTTTAAAATTTTTGGTGACAGTTACTGTATGTAGGCCTAGGGCTTAATCACTATATTAATAACTTTTGCCTGTTTTCAGAAGATGATGGTCACTCAGTCTCAGCAGGTCTCTCAGTAAAGTGACAGTTGCGGAAACAGAAAACTGCCTGACTTTCAAAGGTGAATAAATTGTTTTGTTTAGATTTTAAGTTTAGGGGCCTACTGTACTGTAGGTTCTGATTATGAATCATACTCCACATAGACACAGTGTACTTTACTTACGACCATGATGGAGGTTATAACTAATAAAATATAATGTGATGTAATAGGCCTATAATCGATATCACTGTAACACTGTAATGTACTGTCTGCAAAACATTTAATTTAAAGCTGTTTTGAAAACTAAAAAAAAAAAAAAGAAACGGGATTGGAACTGATAATTCAGTTGGTAGATAAAAAACTGCTAGGCTAGTCTATTATCTTAGCTACAGTACATTATGTATATCGTACTCTTATTTTAATAACTTAGATTTTGAAGGGAAATAACAGATTTTAAATTTGAGTAAGAATGTTTAATGTACTGTACATTTACTACTAATTCATTCTTTTCCTAAAGACACAGACAGCAAAATCACCTTAAGGCCTGTTTATACTTCAACGATAACGATAACGATAACGATTAAAAAAAAAACTAAAAGGCGATTGTTCATATAGAAAATAAAAGAAATAAGAGTATTGTTTACACTAGGACGATTCGATAACGATTTATCGTATATACGATAACAAAATATCTTAACAAATCAAATCAGATGATGTCATAATCATAGAAAAACGATAAAATCATTGCTAATACTACGATTTTAATGGATATAACATGAATAGATTAATAATATGTTTCGATATTGATTATCAAAATTAAGACAATTTAAACAAAAATAGCATTTTACATATTTAATTGACAGAAAGACAATTTTCCCCTGCCCCTGATTTTTAAAAAATTTTGACCTGTATAGTGAGAGTTTTCAATCACTTTTTTTTTTTCGAAATGCAAAGAACTATGAAATGCATTTTCGAAATGCAGAGGACTATGAAATGCATATTTCGCTCAGCTCTGTTTTAAAATAATTTATTTTTTTGTATCTTTCAGCCATTGTGGAACTCCGAAAAAAAAGTTAATGCCAACAAGCCATTGTGATTCAATATTTCGAACTTGATTTGTTCAATTGCAGAATTCATACTATCTTAAATTTTAGTAAGATTATTCATTTACCTTGTCATCGAAGAAGAAAATGCATGGTTATGGAGAGATGCTGTTTCAGTACACAAAGAATGTTGGTTTATATGCACGCCTGACGCAAACGATTCTTAAATATGGTTCTATATTATAAACTCTAGTGACGCTTTAATATAATAGCCTTATAATTATCGACAAAAATGCTGATATAAACAGGACTGTAAGCGTAACAGTAAATACTTAAGCCAAATGATATGTGAAGGGGTATGTCCCTACCCTATGAAGAACAGCTGATATTTTTAATTAAAGAAATTATGGTTTGTATATCTTAAACCCAGTGGATTTTGTAAGTCTACAGGAGTCAATTAAAGCCATTGTTATTTTACAAGAAGGAGCTGGGACTAATTGAAGACCAGATAGAACTGGGACCAGCAGCTGAAGACAAGTTCAAACTGGGACCAGCTAAAGACCATTTAGAACTTGGACCAGTTGAACAGTTGTGAAAAACACAATACAGTACCCAACTAATTTTAGTGGCCTCCCTTACATTTCAATTCCTATTCAGTCCTGGAAAAAAAACCTGATATAGCCCAGAATGGGCCCGTAAATTATTTTGGATAAAACCCACATGGGTCCCAAATAAAACCATAATGCAAACCTAAGGGGCCCAAATATATCCTTTAACGGGCCCATGAACTTTATGGGACCCTTATGGATTTTGGTTGCACAGGCAGCTCATTCCCGTATGGGCCAATTTATAGTGGCCCCTTACATTTCAATCCTCAAAAAACCCTAATATAGACCATAAAGACCCCATGAATTAATTTGGTAAAACCCATATGGGTCCCAAATGAAACCATAATGCAAACTTAAGGGACCCAAATATATTCTTTAAAGGGCCCATAAATTAATTTGGGCCAACTTTATGGGACCCATATGGATTTAGGGTGCACAGGCAGCTCTTTCCCATATGGGCCAATTTATAGTGTCCCCTTACATTTCAACCCCTTAAAAACCCAGATAGAGCCCACAATGGCCCCATGAATTAACATGGACAAACCCATATGGGTCCTAAATGAAACCACAACTCAAACCTTATGGGACCCAAATATATCCTTTAAAGGGCCAAAGTGTTCAGTCAGATACACATTATAAACATCCGGATTATTTTGTCATTCCCTCCACATGTACACACGCACCTAGAAGGCAGCAGCAAATCAGAAAATAACTTACAATAATTACTACAGTATTTACTTCTAAGAACATCATGCCCACAAGACCCACCAATCCTTAAATAATGATATGTATGAACTTTAAAAGAATTTCGGTAGGCCCATCAACCCAACACTTACCTGATGATTTCGTTAGTCGGTACAAGCAGACGGTATAAATAATCATTTGGATAATGATCCACCGACATATTATATCGTACATCTTTAGGCCTACAGCTGTAACGTTATTAATCCGTAGTCTACAAATCTGAGACTGTATAAATATCGTTTTTCGCTATTATATAATACAGAATAATACTGTCAATAAACTTCAGAACATTTCTGAACCTCAAATCAAAAAATTAAGAATTGAAACTCTCACTTGATATAACACAAGAGTTTTACACCCAATTTACTTCCTTGTGTGCTTTGCATTCATAATACAATTTGTAGGGTTGGTATTAAACAAATATAATAAAGTATCATTGAATTACAGTTGCGCAGTAGAAATTTTAAGACACAAAATCCTTGTAGAGAGCCCTAATATTCTGTCAGCTTTTCATGGTTCAATAAATCCCTCTACTTCCTTGTGACGGCCTTTGTTAGTTGGTTTTCTATACTTTACATACACCCCTGTATACACTTTCCGTCATCGTACATTGAACTGTGTGTATGTGTAT